GTAGTCTCACTTTGTTGCCCAGGCTGGAGTGCAGTGGCGTCATCTTGGCTCACTGCAACCTTCGCCTCCTGGGTTCAAGCAATTCTCCAGCCTCAGCCTCCCGCGTAGCTGGGACTACAGGCGCATGCTACCACGCCCGTCTAATTTTTTTTGTTTTGTTTTGTTTTGTTTTAGTATTTTTAGTGGAGACACCGTTTCACCGTGTTAGCCAGGATGGTCTCGATCTCCTGACCTTGTGATCTGCCCGCCTCGGCCTCCCAAAGTGCTGGGATTACAAGCGTGAGCCACCACACCCAGCCACCCTTGTTCTTCACATTACTATATTATGCCTCTCCCAACAGTCCAGATGAGATGATGATCATTTAGACAACAGTAGTGAGAATGGGAAAGAAAAACAGTGGCTAAGGCATACCTTGTCTGATTTAGTGACTGATGGGAAGTCTGGTGATAAAAGAAAGGGAGAAGAATGACACCTAGATTTGAACAAATGGAGAATTTTGGTGAAATACCAAGTTTGAATGGAAAAGATAATGAATTAGTTTTGTTTTGAACAAAAGACATCTCAGAGATACCTAGAAAGAAGAAGGAAAAAAAAGGATATATCAGCTTAAAGGAGAGAAAGGCCTAGGACACAGCAGTTTAAAGTCGGAAAGGTCTGGGCTGGAAATATAGATTTGAGAGACCTTAGCATGTAAAGTTACTGAAGATATGAAAGAGTATGAGGCCACTTGGACAAGTATGTAGAATAAAGAACTAAAACATAATCCTGAGGAAATGAACATTAGGAATCAAAGGAGGCTGATATGGAGTGGCCAGAAGTACGCGGGTCACATAGGGTAAGCTGTAGAGCACCTAGTTTGAGTACTCTCCTGCTCAAGTGCCTAAATATGGTGACAGGGCTGCACAGACATAGTACTCCATGGTTCTAGCGCCTTTACAGACCCCAACCCCCAAAAAAGACAAAGCAACAAACAGAGGGAATTCCTAATAGAAAAAGTTTTGAAAACCCACATTATCTCCGTTTTTGTTTTTGTTTTTTGACACGGAGTCTCACTCCATCACCCAGGCTGGCGTGCAGTCGCGTGATCTCAGCTCGCTGCAACCTCCACCTCCCTGGTTCAAGCAATTTCCCTGCCTTGGCCTCCCAAGTAGCTGGGATTACAGGTCCAAGCCATCATGCCCCACTACTTCTTTTTTTGCATCTTTAGTACAGATGGGGTTTCACCATGTTGGCCAGGCTGGTCTCGAACTCCTGACCTTGTGATCCACCCATCTTGGCCTCCCAAAGTGCTGGGATTACAGGTGTGAGCCAGCCACTGCACCCAGCCGGTTTTTTTTGTTTGTTTGTTTTTTGTGATGGCATCTCACTCTATCACCCAAGCTGGAGGTGCAGTGGTGCCATCTCAGGTCACTGCAACCTCTGCCTCCAGGTTCAAGTGATTCTCCTGCCTCAGGTTCTCAAGTAGCTGAGATTACATGCACATGCCATTACACCCAGCTAATTTTTGTATTTTTAGTAGAGACAGGTTTTCGCCATGTTGGCCAGGCTGGTCTCGAACTCCTGACTTCAAGTGATCCGCCCACCTCAGCCTCCCAAAGTGCTGGGATTTACAGGCATGAGCCACCACGCCTGGCCAAGTTTCTATTTAATGCTTACATAACAGCAGGACTTTTCTTTGATAATCTAACCACCAGACTCCAAACTCAACAAATACTCAATTATTTCTAAAAAGGTATATTAACCTCTATATTAACAATTAGGATTCTCTGAAATAATCTCTAGGTTGCAAAGTAACCAAATATCCCACATACTAGCTTCAGGTACTATCTGGAGAAGGAACTGCTCTATACAGAGAAGGTATTATGTGCTGGATAACATACTAAATCCTTTATATTATCCATTACCTCGTTTATCGTTGCTATGAATACATAAAAAGGAAGACATATCAGCCTAATTTTAAAGATGAGAAACATGAGGCTCAAACAGAGAAGCTGCCCTTTTTTTTTTTCTTTTTTTCTTTTTTTTTTCTAAAGAGAAGGGGTCAGCCGGGTGCGGTGGCTCACGTCTGTAATCCCAGCACTTTGGGAGGCTGAGGTGGATCACGAGGTCAGGAGTTCAAGACCAGCCTGGCCAACATGGTGAAACCCCGTCTCTTAAAAAAATAAATAATAAAAAAATAAAGAGAAGGGGTCTCCCTCCGTCACCCAGGCTAGAGCGCAGTGGCATCATCATAGCTCACTACAGCCTCAAACTCCTGGGCTCAAGCCATTCTCCCACCTCAGCCTTCCAAGTAGCTGGGACTACAGGCACATGCCATCACACCCTGCTAATTGTTTTTTAAATTTTTTATTTTTTTATGGACTTGGTCTTCCTATGTTGCCCAGACTGATCTGGAACTCCTGACCTCAAGGAGTTGCTTGAGGTAGAGGCAACAGCATCTCTGAAGCCCAGTTTGAGACCAAACTGGGCAACACAGTGAGACCTTGTCTCTATAAAAAAATTTAAATAATTAGCCAGATGTGTTGGCACATGACCATACTCCCAGCTGAGGTGGGAGGACATCTCGGGCTGGGAGGCGGAGGTTGCAGTGAGCCATGATTGTGCCACTGCACTCCAGGCTGGGCAACGACGAAAGACCCTGTCTCCAAAAAAAACATACACCAATAAGATCAAAAACAGAGAACAGTGAAAGTTCCAAATATTACCAAGTTTATTTATTGCTTATGTCCCATATCTCAATGGAGTGTCTAATCATAAAAATGCTAAAACTGGCCAGGTGTGGTGACTCACACCTGTAATCCCAGCACTTTGGGAGGCTGAGGCAGGTGGATCATGAGGTCAGGAGTTTGAGACCAGCCTGGCCAAGATAGTGAAACCCCATCTCTACTAAAAATATAAAAATTAGCCAGGCTTGGTGGTGGGCGCCTGTAATCCCAGCTACTTGGGTGGCTGAGGCAGGAGAATAGCTTGACCCAGGAGGTGGAGGTTGCATTGAGCCGAGATTTTATGCCACTGCACTCTAGCCTGCGCAACAGAGCAAGAGCCATCTCAAAAAAAAATGCTAAGATTAACATATATTTTTGTTCTTTCTAATCTCATATTAACCTGATCAGATTTATCATCTAATTCCTCTAAAAGAATGTCTGTCTCTTTTCTGTACACTTACTATAAGCATATCAATGAGCCCAGTGCTTGAGGCTAAGGTAAAACAACCATTCTTTGTCTCAGAAATAATTCTGGGCAATGACAGCACAATAAAGTAAGTACATCCTATAAAATCTTCCTCTTGGTGCCTTCTAATTCCCCTGCCTGAGTAAACTCATCTCAGTAGTGCTCTTGATCCCATTACTCCACCTGTTAATCCTATTTCTTTCCTTCCTTCTTTTAAGACACAGGGGTCTCACTATGTGGCCCACACTGGTCTCAAACTTCTGGGCTCAAGTAATCCTGTCTCGGCGTCCCAAAGTGCTGGGATTACAGGCATGAGCCACTGCATCCGGTATGCCGTTTCCAACCTTAAAAAAAAAAAAAAAAAAATTCCCAAACCTCTGACCCTTAAGCCACTGCCTCACTTTCCCTGTATAGCATATTCCCAGAGTCTAGTACAGTGCCTGGGGTATATTAGTAAGGATTAAGTACCTCTCTAGGCAATCTCTTTGTGTGATAAAGAGACCAAAATTTTCTTTTCTTTTTCTGAGATGAAGTTTCATTCTGTCCCCCACACTGGAGTGCACTGGCCCCATCTCGGCTCACTGCAACCTCCGCCTCCCAAATTCAAGCGATTCTCCTGCCTCAGCCTCCCGAGTGGCTGGGATTACAGGCACGGGACACCTCGCCCGGCTAATTTTTGTATTTTTAGTAGAGATGGGTTTTCGCCATGTTGGCCAGGCTGGTCTCGAACCCCTGACCTCAGGTGACCCGCCCACATCCGCCTCCCAAAGTGCTGGGATTACAGGCGTGAGCCTCCGCGCCCGGCCCCAAATTTTCGATTACATTCTTAGAAACCTTTTCTTTCCACGTAGAACTCGACAGCTTGAAACGCTGGGGGTATTCATAAGTGCCCAGCTGAGGGTGTGAGGCCTGCTCGCCATGTCATCAACCTCGGAGAGGGCGCATCGATACTGCCTGCGTGGAGGCTTTGCTGGCAACTAGAAATTCTGAGTCCTTCCCTCCCCAGCAGCCTGCTCCTTTCTTCCATAGGACGGTTTGCAGAACAGGGACAAAGGGGCTCAGCGGCCCTTGGACGGAAGACAGTTTATAAAGGAGAAAATGAAGAAGGTGGGTAATAAAATGAGCTGAAAAGAAACGTTCCGACTGTAAAGAGAATGGATAATGATACTGGTTTCCTTCGCCCTGTAAGGAGCCGACCTACCTACAGTACCTCCTTTCCTCACTCGCGCCTTCCCTTCTTCTGGGCAGCGAACACGTTTCTATCGCCCGAGCTACCTCTTCCGGGGTCCCTGGGTAACAAGTTCCGGAACAAGAATCACAAAGCGAGCAGTCATTCTTCCTCTTGTCACACCCACAGGGCCCGCACTAAGAGCCGAACTGAAATCCCGCGAGGATCAAAGGAGCTCGCCAAAAGGAGGGAGGAACTTTTCTCTTCTGGAGGCGGTCTCCGGGGGCAAAGTGGGGGGGGGGGACCGGACCGGAAGTGACGTACAGGCTTCCGGTTGGCCGGAGCCCAGCGACGGGTGTGAGAGTCGGTCAGGAGCCGCTTCCAGGATCCGGAGAAGCCGGGGTCGGAGCGGGTAGGTAAACTAACTCGGGGAAATGGGGACCGAAGCTTGTGGCTATCCTCAGAGCTTGGCTTCTTCCGGAGCTCTCCTGCTTAGGAATTACGGATCTGGGGCACTGTGATTCCGACTTCCAGCAGTGTTACAGGACGCTGCTGACTCTGGATGTCTCACCCTGTTGGTAGCCAGGTTATTTGGGACACCTCCTCATGGTTGGTCACCCAGACATTGAACCCAGACACCGGAGTCCCGACTGTTCGTTCTCGTCTCTGCGGACTTGGAAACCTTACTAGGCTTCTTTAGAGAACCTCCTAGTCCCGGGATGTCCAGGACCTTGTAGTAAGTGGAGAAGATCTTCCCTGCTGATGACTGAGCTGTTTCTCAGGATCTGTCAGTTTGGTTTTTGCTCTCCCGAACCTCTAGCGCCTGATGTTAGATGTATTCGCCCCTAAACAAAATCCAGGCTTGCAAATGCCATCTAAAGCGCTGGTGGTGCAGGGTAGCCAAGGGAATGGGCCTTCGCTCCGCAGAGCCTTTGGAGAGGAACTTCTCAGATCTTGCACTGCTTTCATGAAAAAAGAATTGTCTGCCTTTCCAAACCCCTGACCCCCGACCCCTGTATTTTATTACAGTGTTGATATTGCAGTAAAACGTAAAGGTCGACTTAATCTCTAAAATTCCAGAAACCATATGTGGCCCTGTGTCACACTGCTAGATTACTTCTGACCTCCAGAAGATTTTACACAGTCATCTTTTATTTACCTGCAGCTCCATGCAAAAATCTAGTAATACACGTAGACTGGCCACGGTTGACGTGTTTTGGCAGCATAACTCCTTATCCTAATTTTAACGTCTTTCATTTCTCCTTTGGGTCTTGTCAGAGATTTTGTGGACAGATTGCATTGATAATTTGGAGAAGCTTGTACAAGTGTTTCTAGTGTTGTCATGATAGAGAATTGAATATTCCAGTTGCTACTACCTATTAATTATATTGTCATTAGCTCTGATTTTAGTTGTGTATTCTTAGCATAGATGATGAAAGGAAGAAACGTATTTACTAGGCATCATTGTATGCATTGTAGCTTATGTTTTTACTGTGAAGAGGGATGGTGGTACCTAGACAAATGTGACTGATTTGTATAGGTATGAAATGACTCTCTCAAGTAGAAATTTTATATTTTACTACTTTGCCTACATTATCTTAAAGCACTGAAGGTTATTTTTTGCCTTTGAGAGATATGTCCTACTTGATTACAATTGATTAATACAGTTTAAGTTCCATCAGTCACATTCCAGAAGACAATATACATAGAGGCTTGTTTTGATGTCTTTTAGCAATTTACCTATAGCTAGTTTAATCAGTTTTTCAGTTTACATGTTGTTCTTATTTTGAGTTTGAAAATTTGTTCACACTTGACTTTCAAACAAGGTGACAAGATTTGAGATATAGGATTATAATAGTTAGATGTATCATTAATTTAACGTTCAGTAAATTTGCTTAACATTCAGTAAATTTGCTTCTTGATTATACAACTGCCAAATCTGATCTTATATTCCTTATGTTCAATTGAAGGACTGATGATCCAGTTTTGCTCACTTCTCCAACTTCTCGCTTTTGGCTTGAATCACCATTTTTTAGGATTTTGGTGATTATTAAACTTTAAATCAGAAGATCTGGATTGAAGTCTGGGCTCCAACACTTGTTAAGTAATGGCTGACAGGTTGCCTAACATTCTGAGCTGGTCTAGATTGTGTTGATAAAAATTCTGCTCACTTTCATGCATACAGCTGTCACAAAGATTAAATGAGATCGTAAACATGAAATTATTACATAAATGAAAATATAACATCACTTTACTCTTAGAACTGGAGCTATGTCAGTGCAGAATACTGTTGCTTTGCATCATTATCTGAAAATATTGTCACATAATTTTCTGAGATGATCTTTGCCCCACTTTTAAACACAGTAAAGTTAGCAAAGAGTAGTTTGATACTATGATCCATTGAATTAGTCACCGTGGTTAATAAATAGGTGCCTGGAAAATGAGTATAGTTTTGCATTTGGGAGTTTAAATCTGATCCTTTTTGGTCATCATTTATTATCACTTGAGAATTTCCAAGTGCAGACAAAGCTGAAGCTTATTGCTTATGTATAGTTAGGATTAGAAGTAGTCCTACCTTACTTACATTAAGTAAGAAACCTCATTATTTCATTGAAACCAATATTTATAATTAGAAGGAACTTCTGTGAACGTATAGGTAGATTCTTATTTAACAGAGGAGAAAATTAAGGGTCAGAAACAATCAACAATTAGTAACTGGCTTGCTTGAGGTCAACTGGCTTAGGTAGTGCTAGAACCTGAACTGTAAGGTCTCAGGTGTTTTTTCTGTTCTAACAAGATTGTATCCAGGCATCTCATTATGGTTTGGTAATATTTCCTGGTTCACATGAAAATGATTACTCTTAATTATTAAAGGGATCTATCCACGTACACACATAGACACATAAACCTTATTTACAAACTTTTTTTCTCTCTTTAGCTAGTTTAGTCTTATAAATTGTAGCATAAAGAAACCTGTGCTTGGCTAGATCTGAAGTGTAATAGCTTAAGGAAAGAAAATCAGTTATATTCTTCAGAGTAGTTTTTCCCAGTTCATGTTTCATGACTATCACCTGTTGAGTTATCTTCTTTCTGGCCAGTGGAAATGACAGAGGAGCCTTGTAGTAGGTGTCTACTGTGAATGTCGTTGCTAAAGAGTAGGAGAGAACTGGCCGGGACGTGGCTCACCGCTGTAATCCAGCACTTTTGGAGGCTGAGGCGGGCAAATCACTTGAGGTCAGGAGTTGAGACTAGCCTGTCTAACATGGTGAAACCCCATCTCTACAAAAAATAGAAAAAATTAGCCAGGCATGGTGGTGGACACCTGTAATCCCAGCTCCTCGGAAGGCTGATGCACGAGAATCGCTTGAACCACCAGGCAGTGGTTGTAGTGAGCCGAGATTGCACCACAACACTCCAGCCTGGGCAACAGAGGAAGACTCCATTAAAAAAAAAAAAAAAGAAGAAAAGAAAAACTGGCCGGGTGCGGTGGCTGACGCCTGTAATCCCAACACTTTGAGAGGCCACGGTGGGCAGATTGCCAGAGCCTCAGGGGGTTGCAACCAGTCTGGGCAACACGGTGAAACCCCGTCTCTACTTATAAAAACACAAAAAATTAGCTGGGCGTGGCGGTGTGCACCTGTAGTCCCAGCTACTGGGGAGGCAGAGGCAAGAGAATTGCGTAAACCCGGGAGGCAGAGGTTGCAGACTGCGCTGCTGCAATCCAGCTCTGGTGACAGAGCTCCGTCAAAACAAAACAAACAAACTTTCCAAGCTGTTTGTAATTTTAATATTTTGTTCAATTAATTATCTGTTAGAGAGCCATTTCTCTAGTTACTTTATTCTGAGTAAATAGTCATTGTAGAAGAATTAATTCTTTGTATTGTTGAGTACTCTTTTTTTGGTTCCATTGATTTCACAAACTTTTTAGTCTCTTTAGTCTTTCTCAGAGATGATAGTGCTAAATGCTACTATCATTCCTATTTTTGCCCAAGTGCCCTTGGTGTGTCTCCCATTTTGGTGTGAAAATGAACTCTAGATTAGAGAATCCTAATAAACAGGACAAATGGAAGTGATAACTTTGTTGTGGTTTTGTAAATTGTTAATCTGCTTTCACAAAGCCTTGCAAGTATTTTGGGGAGTAGTAAATTTTTCAGACCATATTGCCTCAAGAAATTCCTTATTTTGTATGGCAAAGCAATTTTGGTTAGAGTTTGCTGGACTGAGGTTAGGTATTACGTAGACTCTTATACAAAGCTCATTTTGAAATATGCTCCTTAGTTTGCAGAATCAAGGAAATTTGAACAGGAGATAATTTTCTGTGTCAGATAAAAGGTGATACTTAAAGTTTAAGGCATATTTAAATTAAGCAAGGGTAATGCATTGAGAAATTATATCCCAGCTAGTATACCTATAGTTGCTGAAGAGTTTGTGAGTATTCTCAAACTACTTAATCTTTTCGTTAGTTCATGGGAGTATTTTCTCTTGTCCTTGAGTTTTTAAATGATAAGTTTGTTCTTTGTAGATTATCTGGAAGGACTAGGTAGGCAGTGTTAAAAGCCAGAGTTATGATAAAGCTAAACTGCTTTTTTCAAATTCCAGCTCTGTTACTGTGCAACCCTTGGATTAGTTGCTTCTTGCTATCTCAGTTTCCTCCTAGTAATGAAGTCAATACCTTGATTGTTAGGATCACGTGAATAGGTTTAAATAAAGCATTTAGAACAGTGTCTGTAGCGTAATGATTGTGATCATTATCATCATGCGGCCCCCTGAGCTATTGCCAAGAACTCTTTCCCAGCCCTCTTCTAAAAGCATATCCTTATGTTGCTTCCTTAATCTTTGTTTGCTCAATATTAATGAAGTTCCAGTAAATAAATATCTGAGTATACATTTCATTTTGTGTATATTTTACAACATATGTGAGATTCTTAACCAAATGAGGCATTCTTTTGGGCCATTCTGTTAACCTTTTGGTATTAACAGGTTACATTATCTGTGTAAGCCATAATACAGAATTTGGCACTTGAAACTGTTAATGTTTAACGATATATTTTAGCACAAAAGATCATTTTCCAGTGACATCTGTTACCTTATCTGTTCATTATCCAGTCAGTGAACAAACATCTTGTATCCCAGGCCTTACACCAAGTTCTGGGGAAAACAATGGGAAACAAGAATTGTTAGGAGTGCAGCAGATGAGGGCCTAAGAGAGAGTTAAGGTGGATATATGCTTCTTTGAGGCCGAAGCATAATAGACTTGAATACATTGACGTGGGATGATATGGGAAGTATATGCAGGATCCAGGTCATGTAGAATTTTGTAGGCTGAGGGAATTAGTTTGGATCTGATTTTGAGGGCAGTAGGAAATCATTCTACAATTTTAAGTAGAGGAGTAATAGGATTTATAAGAAGTT